ACGTTCGGAGTCCTGATGTAATGTTTGTTCTATACATGCAGACTCATCATAGTAATAATAATAATAATTTAATATATGAATTGACATATTTGTACACGTGACAGGTCCTGATTGAAATGATGATATAAAATTATATTAAAACTCCTAATGTAAACAAATAATTGGGTTAAATTGTGTGAATGAATAACAAGTTATAAAATACATGATTCAAATCATGTGGGAGAAATAATATATCTTACCGTTGAGCCAGTTGATGTCTGATTACATGATTTCAGTCAATCCTTTCGCATTAAGGAAAGCCGCAGCGACTGCACGCCATCAAAACTTTAAAAAACTCTAGAATTTTGAATCATTCTGCCGCTTGAATCCTGCACTAACTTTTCCAATCACCATCCGCGTATCTCTGCTTCGTTCCCCATCTTCTTCCTTCTTTCCACCTAACCATTTTTACTTTCTCAGCAGGTTTTCTTTTCCATCTTGCTTCCCACAAACATCTCCCCCAACCTGATCGACGACATGCCTCAACGCATCCTAATCATCGTCTTTCCAGTCCTAACCCACCTCATCCTTCACTCCTCATCGGCCTCTGCAGTCATCGATCCTTACTACCTCAACTGCTCCCGTCCTTACCGGTGCAGCGGAACAAACATCAACGTCTCCTTCCCGTTCCGCCTCCCTAGCAGCCCTAGCTACTGCGGCATCCCGGGTTATGAACTCCACTGCAGCGATGAGGAATCCGAGCTTAGCATCAATCTCGCCGGAGTCGATTACAGGGTCAGGGAGATCAACTACACACAGGGTTTCATCACGCTGGTTGAGTCCGATTTTCTGGGCAATCCTTGCCCGCATACCTTTACGAACACCAGCATCAATTCTACGCTATTCGCTTTCGCCGATCTCGATCTCAACTTGACGGTCTATATCAACTGCAGTATTCCGATTCCTGGCTTGGCGGAGATATTGTGCTTTAACGATCTCATTTGGCCGCGGTCGTATTATAAGTTGGACACGGGGCCGCCATCGTTTCTGTTGGATTTGTTGGGTGTATGTCAATTGAAAGCGGCAGTGCCGGTGAATCAAGTGGCGGCTGCGTCGTTGAATAGTAGCAAGGCGAAGTTTGGGGAGGCGTTGCAGAAGGGTTTTGGATTGAAGTGGAGTGCGGG